GATATTCTTGAATTTTACACTTTCTATAAACCTGAGTGGGTTGTTGTCTGTAAAAATCTCAAAAGGGTATTTAGTGCTTAAAAGGTAAAATTTTAATTTTTCCAATGCTACTAATAACCCTAAAGCCTCCTTTTCAACGGTGGCATAATTCTTTTGATAAGGCTTATATCTAAATGACAGGTAGCACACAGGGTGTAGCACTTCACGGGGCCTGGTTGAAGCAGCACTGCTCCAATTCCTGCATCACTGGCATCCACGTGAATACTAAACGGTTTATTTAAGTCAGGGGCTTGCAGCACTGGAGCCTTTGTCAGTACGTTTTTCAAATTTTCAAATGCTGTTTGACATTCCGGCGACCACTTGAAAGCCCTCTTAGTACTGAGTAAGTCCGTAAGGGGAGTAGAAACCTGAGCAAAATTCTTGCAGAATCTCCTATAGTAACCAGCCAGGCCGATAAATCGCATCAGACTTTTTCGTGTAGAGGGAGCTGGGTACTTCTGAACAGCCTCAATCTTCGCTGCAACAGGAGCTAATTGACCCTGACCCACGACATGGCCAAGGAAGACGAAATGGCGTGTCCGAACTCACTTTTTCTTGAGGTTAACAGTGAGGTTAGCTTCAGCGAGAGAGGAGAACAGGGGCGAACAAGATGATCTTCCCACGATGAGCTCCATACCACCAGGTCGTCAAGGTAACATCTTACACCCTCCAGGTCAGCAGTTAGGAAGTTCATCAGCCGCTGGAAGGTTGCAGGGCGTTCCGCATTCCAAATGGAAGAACGGTGAATTCATAAAGTCCTGTGGGTGTGACAAAAGCAGATATAGGTTTGGCTTTCTCATTTAAGGGCACCTGGTAGTAACCCTGCAAAAAGGTCTAATTTAGAGAGATGCCTAGCCTTACCGAGATCGTCTATTATATCGTCCATCCTCGGGAGAGGATAGGAATCGGGTATTATTACTGCATTAACTTTTCTGTAATCAATACATAGACGAAATGGCCCACCTTCTTTTGGAACAAGGACAACTGAAGATGCCCATGGACTTGAACTTGATCGAATCAGACCCTGGTCTTGGAGGCGTCGAATTTCAGCTTGAAGGAACCATTTCTTACTGAGACGAGACGGTGCTTGTCGAATTGGCTGTGCACCTGTCGTCTCTATGTCATGCTCCAAGAGAGTACACAGACGGGGCGTGTCACTGAAGAGATCACGACGCTCCGGTATAAGGGAGGTGATGATGGCTGCTTCGACTGCTGCTAGATGAACTAATTTACACAGGGTTATCTAGAATTATTGTTTTTGATATTAGGCTCCACAATAGAATTTGTGCCTTCTATGTCACTATTCTCTTCACTGACATCACAAGTATTAGTTACTATGAGTGCTACGGCCTTTGCTTTATCTCTATTTGCACCAGTATCTTCAAGAGAATGATACTTCTTTAAGAGATTAACATGCACTAGACGCTTTTTCTTTCGCCTTTCAGGAGTTTCATTGATGTAGTTTACCTCACTAGTACGTTTCGTTTAATACACGAAAATGGACCGTGGTACTTTGAGCAAAGAGGCTGCTTATGGGTAGGAAGTAAAGCCAAAACTAATTCACCTTCCTTAATGCTCTAACCTCAGCCTTTTTAGTCTTATCAAATGTACTTTTCATTCTGTTCTGTACATTACCCAAATTTTTATGTGCAAGAGTGACAGCAACTTTCAGTTTACACGAGATTTTCCACATATGTAGATAGAGGCACTACTATCTCTTCATTAAGCCAACTTCTTTTAACACTTTAAGTGGTCCTCGGATCTCGTGGCCATATAAATCTGGAAAGGTGAAAACCCTAGGCTTTCCTGAACGCTTTTCCTGACAGAAAAAAGTAGCAAATCAATGACCTCATCCCATTCTGACCCCGCTTCGAGACAAAAAGACTTAATCATTGTTTTCAAGGTGTAATGGCATCGCTCCACCACCCCTTGTGACTCTGGATGAAAAGCGGTTGATTTATACTGTTTGATACCTAAGGAACGCATCACCTGTTGGAATAAAGCTGAGGTAAAATTCG